TGGGCTCAGAGAAAAGACAGCTGGTCTTCTTATAAAGGATCAGGCTTGGACTTGCTTCTAGCCTGGAAAAGGGCGACAGGTGCACCTAGAGAAGTGCTACCCCTCACCGTGCAAGGAAGAACTGAAAGCCTCTGAGAAGAGGTAGCGTATGGCTCATGGCAGTAAAGATATGGCTTCTTATCCGAAGGTTTTTAGTTCTGCTATTTTTGTGACATTGGATTTATCCAGGCTAAGAATAAATGGCAAGGAGTTGAACCTGGATGTTCTGTGAGGTCCTTCCAACCTGAGCCTTTCTGTGATGCAATTTGGTTGGGTTCTCCAAAACATTATGACTGCCTCATATTTTGCTGTACCACTTTACTGATTATGACAACATCTTGATATCTATTTCTTCTTTGGAGAGTTTCAAAATAAGTCTTCACCTTCCCAGTCAAAGCTTTGAAGTCCAATTTCTCCCTATGCACTAGGAGAGGAAAAAAAAAAGAGAGACAAAAAAGAACAGTCATTTGCTGGAATTGTGAGCTGCTAATTTGCTTCTGCGTTTAGTGGCAGAAAGGATGAAGGCAATCAATCCAGTTCTTCTCTACATATATGAACACAATGCAGCATGCTGAGTGTGGTAAATTGCACCATTTGAGACAAGAAGAAAAATCTTATCAGGTGAAACCATAGGTAAATCTTCACTGATAGATCATTACTCTGCAAAGTATCTGCAGGTTCTTGGAAGAGGTTTTTGAGCACCTGACTTAGTCAAAATGCAACTGTTATTGGATAATTAGACTGAATTAGGCTACGTTTATGGTTGTTACCTGGAGTAGGTAGTACATTTGCAGCACAAACTTCCAGATTACTGCAATTCTTCTCCAATTTCCTCCTCCAAGTTTAAACAGTAATTTGGACATAACTAAGTTCACATGAAAGTGTTAAACTTTAAACAAAATTCTACCTCTTTAGTGAACGTTTTCCTTCACATTCTTTTCTTTTTGTTGTGTTGAGCATTATCTAGTTCTCGCTTATGTGACATCTATCATAGCAAGATTTGTGCGGATATCATCCTCTTTTCTGGTTCATCCAGCCATGTCCAAACTGAATTTCTTAGATACATCAGTCAGTGGAGGTGCTTTTCTCTATCAGGCACATAGCTCAGCTCATTTCAGGCACTGAGACAGATGACATAAATATGAGCTGAGCCAAGCAGTATAAAACTACCTAAAATCCTTCTGAGGTTGTATAACTTCATAACTCTCCTGAGGTTCACTGAACAGTCATCTCTCTCTTATTTTTTCCTCTTTCTTTTAGCTGGGTTTAACTGACATGACCAAAACTCATTGCCTGGAAGTAAAAAGGAAAAAAAGCCTACTGTATATTTTACAGCTAGGTTGTAATTGGAGAACTGTGCTTTACTAGATCTGCCATAAAACCCTTTCATTGACATCTGAACACTGAAATATACACAGGCTTTAGAGAAAAAAATAAACGAAATAATAATTTGAAAACAAAACAAAACAAAAAGCAAAGAGAGGAACTATTTCCACACAGTTCAGATTTGGGACTGTTTTAGGTCTTTAAAATGAAACCCTGAATAGGGAACTGATTCACAACATTCCTCAAAATACCAAAGAATTATGACTCCTTGAATTCTGGAAAAGGAAGATTTAGGGCAGTCTGCACTCTCTGATATTAATAGTTGGCTGCATGAAGAGACTTATTCAGAGTTGTCCAGAAAGTTTTGGGGATGACAGAAATATATTTCATACCTGATTCTGCTCAAGTTGAGGTTTAATACTCTGCTCTGAATAGCAATACTTATGAAAACGGACAGACAGAACAGCAACCAATAATGTCTTCAACCTTAAATTCCCTTGGTCAAGTTTTAGGCACAGCAGCGGTTGTACTTTTCAGTCATCTGTAATAACTTCGTGTTATCACACAAAGGCAGATTTCTTACAGGAGGGCACAAAAGGGTAAGTTCCTGAATTCAAATACTCATATTCGAAATATTGTATGCACATCAATGTTTGCTACTTTTTTTCATGTGCTGGGGATGTCCTTCCAGAACTGAAACCTGAAACAAGTTTTTTGTTGTGAAGTTTCTGATGAGTTCCTTCAAGCAGAAAAGTAGATCAGTAGATTTGTTCTGCTCAACCATTTATTTATACGAGCATCTGTGAGGTTATGGGTTTAGAGCAGAAAAGGGAAAACTCTTATCATAGAATCATAGAATCACAAGGTTAGAAAGAACCTACAAGATCATCTAGTCCAACCAGCCTCCTATCACCATTACTACCCATGAAACTACTAACCATATGTCATGGTACATCAGACAAATCCAAACATTGTGGCTCTTTGGCTTCTGCATGAAAACTGGTGTAGCAGTGTTGTGCTTTCTGTTCAGGGGATGGTGAATAACGGTAGCATAAAAATAGCATCATCAAAGGGTGAGAGAATTCCTTCCTCATAATATAAAATATCTCCACTGGGGTCACATTTGGATTCTGTGGACTGATGAGGAGATCAGTCTCGGTAATATAGTGTTAACTGTCTCTTCCTCTGATCCTGATGCATCTTACTCTCTTGCATACATATTTCTAGCTTGTTAGAATAGCAGCAGCATGACACTACAAAGGCCTGGGATGTATGTCTGTACATTGTAAGCAGAACTTACAGTGGCTCCGAGTTGGGTTTTATAATCAGATAGCCAAGCTAAGAAGATGGTTATGTTCTCTATCTTCCCCAAAAATCATAAAAGGAGACTCTGAAGCAGCTATGAGTGCGGGGAGACTCTGCAAAGCTCTTTTGAATTTTTAAAGTGCCTACTTGGAAATATCTGCTGCTTTTTTGTCTCGTGTTCCTCAAAATCTGATCAAACGTTAAAGATGATCTGAATTTACATGGAGGAAAAAAGTGCACGCTTCCGCCATTATCTCCTTTTCTGCTTCCTTATAAATCCAAACTGGATAGCATCCAATTTCTCATTGCAACTGCCTCTGGAAATGAAAGAGAGCCTGAATAGAGGAGGAGATGAGCTGCTTTAAATGCTTTTTCATAGTTCTTCTCTCTGCTATGAAAGCTTCATTAAAAGCTGCAGCTTGCTTGTTTTCTAACTCTTCCAAAGTAATAAGCATATAATTGTCCTGAAAACTTGGGAGGAGTGTATCACTGTAAGTCATTATGGCATCATTTTATTTCAAGGTCCTTTTGCATTTTCTTGGGAATGAGAGACCTCTGTCATTCAGAAGTGAAGGAAATACAGAACGAGTGTCTTTTTGAAGAGGGCATTGAAAATTTGCAATGTCGATATGTCTACATAAATTACTTCTTTGTGGACTGTGAGTTCATGTGGCGTAGCACAACAATTATTTTGCCTTGTTTATCTTCTTAACCTGCATTGAAAACATGTCAGATACAGTGCTCACTGCTACCAGAGTAGGAGCCCTTTTATTTTAATTTGTTGAGATGCAGAATTATGAGTAATAATGAGGAGAATATGTGATGCCCATAATACATTACAGCCTAGTCTGAAAAATTCAGCTACAGTGCTAAGATCCACACATGCTATAAATGATTACGCAGGAGTCCTTCTAATAACTGCTGTGGTGCAAAATAATCTTGCCTGCAGATGATAATAGCTGCTCTTTGGCAACAGCTGGGAGGGCTCACAGACAGCATGCTGAGACACATGCATTTCATAACACGGAGGAGAACAACAATATTCAAAGTTCTTAAATCACCCTCTGAAATAACAGCTCTTCAGAATAAGTAGCTGCACCTCATGGGCTGACCAAATTCAATCCGATCTTGCATTTAATTATAAACTTGCATTTCTGATGGGACATATCCTTTCTGCATTGTGGAAGAAAACACTGCTTCTGCACTGCTCAAGGCTGAAGTTCAGAGTTATATCTGACTTGCTCCACCTATGACAGCCCCAAGTATCCCCACATGTACTGTGATACAACAGGGAAGTGATATCCTTGTGAGTGTCAATGCGTAAACCTCTCTCAGTTACAATGGAAAGGTAATTCTCAGGGTAAACTCATTAGCAAAGTAAGTCTAGTGTGAAAACAGAGAAAAATATTTTGAAAGTCAAATATGGATTCTATTAAAGCGAAGGTATATTTCTGTGGAATAAATTTCCTGTGGATCTCTTTTCCTACCTGCACTTCCTTGTTTTCTGCATGCCTGCAGAATTAATTACACTATGTGAAATCACAGTTCTGAATCTCTCCTGCATCTTCTTGTTTTCTGTTTTCTTCTGGGATCTCAGTGAAAAATCCTTTCTAGTTTGTAATGAAAACAGAATGGACTCGGATCTCATAAAAACTGAAACTATGAATTTTGAATGGCTATTCTTTTCCACATAAACTTGATAGCATCCATTTCCAAGCCTTCCCCAAGCTACCTCCATTCTGCAGTTCAGACATGGGGACGTATATTTACATTTGTTAATTTTCTTCTGCCAGTCGAAGAAAATAAACCGATATTTCAGAGAAAATGAGATTAAAACCCACAGTGAGTGTTGCAGCTTAACCAGTAACGTTTTCTGATGCACTAAATAAAGATGGGTAAAGTCCTTTAGTATGAAAGACATTGCTTTGATTTTTACTTTTTTTTAATCTTTTTTATCATTTGCAACCCAAAAACTGGCTTTAGGATTCTGCTCTGATTTAGGAGTTCTCTTGAGAGGAATAAAAGAGTATTCACCACAAGAGATACAATGACTTCTGCACCACCAGCTTTCTCTGAATTCATAGAAAAGATTCATGGAAGGCAAAGACAAATCTCATTGTGGAACTGAGGATGGAGGAAGAAATCCCATGTTTTCCTCTAGAGAAAGAAGCCACTTTCCTTTTTCTTCTCCCCCATCCTCAGTTGCTAATTTACAAACCAGAAGGTCCTCAGTAAGCATTTGAGATTCCAGGTGAAAATAATCTCAAATTTGTGCTCTATTTGACTCAATCAGAGGACTATCTAGCCAGGAAAGGCAACACAGCTGAGTAGGAAGTTTTAAAATCAATCCCTGACACGTCTCTCCTTTTAATTTCTTTTGAATACTGACTGAATTTTTCTTCTATTTGTCCCTAATTTTAAAATCCAGAGAGAAAATAAGTAAAAATTTTGCTTTGCAGTTGATGTGCCACAATGTATGAGTTTTCATCTAAAACTTCAAATATCTTCAGGTAGAGTAATCTCCAGACACTCGGAAGCAATTAACATTTTCTGTTTTATAAAATGTATTCTGCCCGTGCCTGTTTGTCATGTAACTATATAAATATTATTTTCAGAGTTTCTGCTAAAGCTGTGATTGCTCATCCCAGAGTCACTGGACTGATGAGGCAAGGTAAGCTTATAAAATGGGTTGGCGCTGCTCTTTGGGTCTAGGCCATTCTGCTAATGAACATCGCTGGGGTCTGCACTGGGTAAGTCTCTCTTGTGTGATCAAATGAGGAGAGGAGGGAGAAGTGTACTCTATCCCTGAAAGTCTGACACAGTTTTCTTCCCTTTCCTAGAAAAAATTACCCTCATCGAGGGGGTTTCATCAATAAAAGTCTTGAACTGTGCCAGCAGCCATTTTTTTTTTTTTCATTCCCTTATATTTAACCTATAAGTACATGCACAGGGTCAAACTCCACATTCAAAAGCCTCATGGAACTTTACTTAGAAACAAACAAAAAGCAATTAAATGCATTATCCATCATCATAAGTTTATCGATGGCCTTTTTTATTTTCCTTTTTGAACAGCAGTTTGCTAGTTGCTGTATGCCACTTGCAACAGAGAAGGAACTGATGCTGAAGAAGCACTTAGGTTGCGTGCTTAAATATTTATTAGTACAAGAAGCAGTGTACTGCAATGTTCTGGCTGTGTGTCACATTGGATTCACTTGTGTAGGTACAACCTGTAGGCAGCTGTTACACCTCAGAAACAAATCAGTCAAAGGACTGAGAGACATGAATGCCAACCAGACCTTGCCAATGATAGTCATAGCTTTCTAAAGAGGCTGGCACTGCTTTTCCTTTGTGCTCTGCATTTCTGCTAGATTTTGTAGCCTCAGTAGCTTTTAGTGCAGGAATTGAATTCCATGGTTCCATGTTGCTTTAGAAACTTGAGATATATCTGATTTGCCCCTATTTTTATGTATTATCAGCTTTCCCAAGGTACATGAACAGAATCTCTTTTGTTCTATTGATTACATTGCAGGAATTAGGCAATTATGGAAGTTAGTACTCTAAGGGATGGAGAATGAAATGTGGTATGATAGAGCAGTACAGAAGAACAGGGCTTCTAAATCTCCTCAGGTCTAGCTAACTTCCTAACCTTTTTAATGTTTTCATAATGCTTCCTGCAATGAAAGTAGCATCCACTGCCTCACAATAAAACACTCCAAAAATAAAATAGCAAAAAATAGGTACTTTAAATCTCTCTACCTCAGAATTGTCAGTCTGGGCCCATTTTCAGGATCACTGAAGGATCCCGAAATCAATGGAGTTGATTGAGGTGAGCCAGAGGCAACTTGGCCACCAGCTACTCCAGAGCTGAGCAAGGAGGGGAAATAGGTCAGCAGAAGGAAGGCAATGCTCCTTCATTAGCCCTGAACCTCTCTGAGCTCTGAAACAGCTGCACAGTGGTAATGAAGGTGGGAATCACTGCAGGCCACTCTTTGGTCTCATGCCCAGGTCCAGTCTCTAGACCATGCATCTCAGCCTCAGGGCTTGCAAGCACACGCTGAGGCCTTAAATCAGATGGTCCTACTGGCTGTCAAGCAGAGAAAGCATCCCCAGGAGATGACTGGCAGTTCAGTAGAGCAGATTAGACAGTACAAAAGCAAAAATGGAGACAAACACAACAGATGTGGGGGGAAGCATTTTTTACCTTGTGAAATTCCTATGCTCTAGTCCCAGTTAGCCAGGAGAACAGCAAGTCGTCATTTCCATTCAGACTCCCAGGTCTGGGAGGAGAATTGTGCAAAAGATTAAGGAAGGTGTTAGAGAGGATGTGAAAAAAGAAAAATAGCATCTTTACGGGTTCAGAGGTGTCAAAACCCCAGCTCCAAGCACCCAGAAATGCCTAAAGCCATCCTTAATGACTCATCTCTAAATTGCAAGTTTAGTTTACAAACAACGCCGTTCTTGGGTAAGGTTTGGATGCACGTAACCAACCAAGCAGTGCTGTCAGGGTGCCTATTTACTAATCCTTCATGTCTCAGTCTGATATAATCCAATCCAATGGCTTCTTTTCTGGACACAGAGAGCCTTCTTATCTGTAGTTAGCTCCATATTACCAGATAATACCAGCAGAGCATCTCTGTCTTCTGAGGCTTGAGTTCCTGTCCAAGATTTGTCACTAAATGTAGGGGTTTTGATTCCAACCTGTGATTGCCAGTCTGCCTTTGTGCCCTGCCTGGGACAGCTTCCAAGCTGCAGCAGTTCTAGGATTTACCATGTGTGTGATGGCAGCACAAATCAGCATGCAGAAGCCCTGTGCTTCCAGGAGCTCTCCACAGCAACCATTACAAATGGCTTGGCCTCCCATATTCCTTTCAGTGTGACACCAGAAGAAACAGCAATCACAGCACATCCTCTCGAAACAATTCCCTTCTGAATTGCCAGCAGGCAATGCTGCAGTGCGTGCTGAGATTTGTGCATGCAGCTTATGAGCTCATCGTGGTAAATGCAACGAAAGCAAAGCGCAAAAGGTCTTGGCCAGCATCAGAACCCAACGGATGAAGTGAGGATTTCTCCAGTGTCCCTTGTGCTCTGTCACACAGAAGGGATCCTGATCAGGCTACTCAGACACACGCTTGGAGCTTAGGAGTACCAAGGGTAAGGCTGAGTGGGTTCAACATGCTGCTCAAGAGATTTGGCCAAATCCTCCAATTTTCTTAAGGTTTTGCATTTTTATACTGAGTTTTGCAACAGTGATTTCCTACAGCTGTGTACTTTTAGCTGGGCCTTCTTGTGTTTCAGTTTAGCTAGGAAATGTTCTCTGTTAATTGGTTTATTTGAGAGCCTGCTATCAAAACCAATTCTTTAAAAGAAAGGATTCCTTTGTATATTTGAACCTCTTCACCAGGAACATGTTTAGGCCAAGTTGGATGGGGCTCTGGGCAGCCTGATCTAGTATTAAATATGGAGGTTGGTGATCCTTGAGGTCCATCCCTTCCAACCCAAGCCATTCTATGATTCCATGAATGGAAAAGAATATGAGCTCAGAGTTGTTCTGGTCACAATTTCCCCAAGAAAATCAGGATATAAGCAACAGAAATCACTATAGCAGAGCCTGTGAAAAAAATGTTTTAATTCAGAAGCACTGAATATTTTTAGTATCACATACATATGTTTTTATCATTTTAAAACCTGTGATTTTATATTAGATTGAAAGTGCCACTTTAAATGAATTGTCTGTATCTTTGTATACTTTTAGAGAATTGCTAAAGCAGTTTACAGATTATTTTAAAATAAAAGACCTATGCTGTGTGAGTTCAGATGTTCATCATCTCCATACATTCAATTACAGTGCCCTCTGTTACTTCTTTATAATTCAGCTAATACATCAGAATTATTTGATTTTCCCCAGCTTTCGGTAGTCATTTTGAAGCAATGCTTGAGCACTATTGCAAAAATCAGTGCACCTGAAACCCATTGTGTATGTAGTGGATTTTAACCCCTATGAAGATTTTAACCCCATGTAGAAATCCTTCATTTATCCTTCAGTGCTGAATGCTTTTAAATTTAGAGTTTGATAAAAATAATGGTGTCATTGAAGGCTCAGTGTAAATATTTGGTGAACGAAGCATCTTTGCATGTGTTTTTTACAGCAAGAAAAGAAAAATTGATATTTTTTCCCCCTACTTTCTGATTATTGGGGTTTGAGGGGAGAATCGTGGCTACAATTTATTAGGTGTCATAACCTGGAGATCAGCTTTTGGATGATGAGGCACACAGAATACAAGACAGGTTTTTAAGGGGAATAACAGCTCTTGGAAATGCGTTGTGGCAGTTAGGTAGAAACCTTGCTTTCCTCTGTTGCTGAACAGCCTTTGTTTTTGACCAAAATAAGAAATTACTTGTCCTAAGAATATTTCATAATAGCTGATAGGACAAAAATGCGTAGGAGAATGGGCTGATTAGGGAATGAGGGATATGAAATTAGCAAAAAAACATTGTGCTGTGGCAAATCTAGGTACCTCACCTTCAAGTCTTATCGAATTCTATCTTTACATATCAAAAGCTGTCATTTTCCTTGCAAATGAAAAGAAAGGGCTCTCTACCTGAGCCCGCCTGATTTTCATTTTCTGTAGTAAGATTCTTCAGCTGTTGGCATTTTGTAGAAACTCTGTCTCCTCTTTAGTGCATTTTCTTTCCCTCTCTTTCTCCACCTCAGCCTTACAGCTTCAGCTGCTTGCTATCTTATTCTTGCTTTGTTGCACGAGAAGCATTCAGTAAGCTTTTCTGTGCATGTTCAGTAGTGAGTGACTATATTCAGTGGCACTTTTACTCATTTTAGAGTAAGAATTCCAACGGCAGAGGTTTTCTGAAGGGAAAGGCTCTGATTATGTTGGGTTTTAGTTAGGACGTCCGTAAAACAGCCCTTATTTCTTTATGTCCATCCCCTTTTAGAAAGGAGAACACATGAGTATCTTGAATCTTTGTGGTGAGGACTAACTGCGTAGTCCAAGCCCAGATAAATACTACCTGAGAGGGAGCAATGTGGCCACCAAACAGTGAAACTTGTTCTGATGAATAGGCAGGTGTGACTGAATGATACAAGACTTTCACTGCCACCAGCACAGAAGCAGTATGTGCAGACGAGGGAAGCCTGGGATATTTGAACACCTTGAAGCAGTAGCTCTTATTATTCGGTTGCAACGGATTTTAAGGGAGAGAAGAAATGCAGAGTTATTTTCCTTGACTTCACTGTCTTGCTGTGCAGAAAAGCAGAAGATGGCACACCATTTTAAAAAATGATAATTACATCCAAATTCCATTTGTTTGAGCCTATGAGTATGATTTTGTGGCAAACTGTCTTTCTACCTCTGTGAGATTAATCTCTCTAGAAAGCAGAGAATGAAGCCATACAGCTCTTCAGATGCTGATGATCTATTTATTTATTTATCACCTTGATGAAACAATTAGGAGACTAGAGCCTCATAAATTACTTGTTCATGTTATGATGCTTAAACATTTTTTTCAGCAGCTGTACACGTGCTGTGCATCTTTCCTTGGCTGGTCTTATGAGGTTATTAAAGGATATTTCAAGAGACTGCCACAATCTTCCCTATTGACTTGTTCATACATATTGATAAGCCAAGTAGCTAATCCTCCCCTTTGTCCATCAGGCTGAAAGTGAGGTGTGGGGAGAATAGGAGGATCATCAGTAACCTGAAATGAGGAAGGAAATAAGAGCACTAATAGAGCATCATTCATGACAGCATGGCTGCCCATGAGTTTTCCCACACCGAACTGCACTGGGAATGTTTCTTTACTCTGGTCTATGTAGGATCATGAATTACTTACTGAGCACTGGGAGGACTCAGTCTCCTGATTACATACTTCGGGAGATCTATGCATGTGCACCAGTGTTAGTAGGCTTAATCTTATAGAGCACACTAATTAGATATCTCTTTTCCTGTTGGGTTTGGCAAATAAATTGCTATCATCATTACCACAGATCATGGCGAAAGCCCTGCAAGTAGAACATCTGCTTTTAATTAAATACATGCAGAGATATATTTCAACATGTACCCATTAATCAAACTTTAACTTTGCTTTTAACCTCTTTTACTTAGTCAAACAGTTGTTACAAAAACATGTACTCATTCTTCCATGCAACAGTGGTTACAATTTTCTCTATATGCGCATATATTTAAAAAAAAAAAAAAAAAAAAGAAAATAAAAAAAAAGAAAAAAAAAAGAAAAAAAAGGCTCTTATCCTGGAAAGATTACATTGTTTTGTTTTGTTTTGTTTTTTCCTATAGATTCCCTCAATTGTACTATTCATTTTGATCTAATTTTCAAAATGGGTGATCAGGTGCTTGAGATAAGACAGCTAGCTCTGAATTCTTCTAAAACTTCTGGAGGTCCATCACTGCCAGCATCTGTAAGCTCATTGCTGAGGAAGAAATTATGTGCTGCTGGCAGAGGGAAAGGTAAAGCTGATTTAGGAACCTTGGAATGAGGGAATGCTTGATAAAACATTTTCTGTCTCCAACTGTTCTGAGTTTTCTCACAGTCAAGAGTCAAGAGTCAAAACTGATAGTACTTTAAACAAGAAAGCTGTAGAACATCTTGAACTTTAGGGTCAGAGTGTGCTAATTGGGTAACAATTAATTTTGAGTGACCTCTAGTGGTGCTTTCCCACAATTTCCCTTCAATTAGATAAGTGGGATCCCTATTAGTAACGGAATATCAGGATCGGTATTTAATGGCCCTTTCTCAGCAGCAGGGTAAATAGTCCAAAGCTAGATGGGGAGGCCACATCATGGGTTTGCTTTTCTGAACAAAGCATCTGATAACTTGACGGAGCACATAGTGGATTTTCTTCATGCATCCTTTTTTGCCCACTGATCATTCCACAGCCCTGTGTTGCAATGCAGCACACAACCCAGGACTTCATTGGACGAATACGTCCAACTGTGCCTCTGCAGCAAAATGAAGATACGACTTCACCAGAGGTAGGCACACTGTTATTAGCTTTAACCAAGCCTGTATGGGCAATTACAGCTGTGATTACTGTTATATTAATCTCCCATGGTATTCCTACTTGATGCAGCTACAGCGGTGGGATGGCAGAAGCAGCTGTGGGTCATTGCCTATGGACTCACACAGGAGGGAGACCTGCAGGCCACAGTTTGAAGATTGGAAGAACAGAACTGTGACAGCAGCAGGAGGGGGATTTGCCATCTTCAAATTATGCTTTACAGACACAACGGCCAAGGTGAAACCTTGTTTTATGACCCTGATTTTTGAGAGTGCAGTGTCCATCAGTGGCTTAGCTGTGCTTGTTGGCTCAACCAACTCTGCAGTGACTCCATTTACGCTCTAATAGGAAGGCAAAGTAGTGATTAGCTAATTGGCCATCCTGTGCACAGAGGCCTGTATAGATGTCAGTGGCACTGCATGTTTTATCAGCTCTCCCCCATAATTCCTTTCTCATGTGTGCCTTCCAGATCTCACCCCAACAACACCACTGGTGCCCAGAGTGGTGCTCGATTGTCACCAGTAGATGATATCCTCTGATGAGATGCAAGGCCTGGGCCTAATTAGCTACAATCCCCTGAGATGGTTTATAAATTGGGCAGAATGAGCCCAAGGGTCTAAAGGATCAAGGCTCACTCTTCAAGTGAGATGTGCATAAACATATTAATAGCTATACATTTTAAAGTGCCTAGTTGCATGAGGTGGGGCTTTATTCTAGGTAATTGCCAGTTTCAGTTTAATTAGGCACATCTTGTCTTTTCAAATGCCCCATCCCACCAGCCAGCAATAAATGGATCTCCTCCCTTTCTGCTAAGCTTCTGTCTAGGGGAGGATTCTGAAGCATGGCCAAGCAGAAATGCTTAGTGTTTATTCTGAAAGCATATCTCTTTGAAGCACGGAGGACTTCAAAGTCAACAACCAAGAAGTCATGGACTGTAAAGATTTACTGTGCTCACAATTACAAACCTGCAACCCCCTGAAAAGTTGCACTAAAAATGCATGAGTTAGTTCTGATGTAGAGATTTGAAGAATTTTAATTTGCATAGGTATTCATGCTGGCTTTAATAAACATAAATTAGTATTCAAATATTTTCCTCAAAATGCACCAGACTTGTAGGACAAAATGTGACCTGTCATTTTGATCTTATTTTTTTTTTCAATGACCTTGAATAAATGCAAGGGAGAGAAAAGTCACTTGCAATTTTCTTTCCAAACATGGGGTGGTTTCTGACAAAGAATCTCAATCAAATTTTAGGTGATTGACAGTTCCCTTTACCAAAAAGATTTAAGTCCAAAGATACTGTTAGAATATATGACATAATTATTTTGCCTAATGGAAATGCATTCATTTTGCTAGCAGTCTTGAATTGCTGCTGCCTTAAAGGTAAATGCTTTAGTATATTAAGGATTTGAAACTTGGCTGATTAGTGCTATAAATCTTGAGCAGGAAGGGTAGGGAAATCTTGTATTTGGACTTTTGTTTAATTCATCATTGAACAACTTGAAAATATTTAATCCTCTCTTTATTTATTATTTTATTCCACACATACACGTCTTGCTTGTCTTATGGGCTGAATTTACTTGTTCCTTCCTTAGTAAAAACCTTTTAACACTTTTATTTAATGAGTAACAGAGACATGGCTCTTTATGGGCAATGCAGTGGGTCTTACTACCAGAAAAATGATATTTTTAATCTTCTTAAGTTGAAAGTATTCCAGTAATTAAATCTGGATCTGTAAGGTGAAAGGTCATAGTTATTTTAAAAATACATTTGTTAATTGCTAGTTATTTCTTAATAATTCCCACGTTTGGTTTTAATACCAATGGTAAATCATTGTAATTAACCGACCTGGCCCCAAGACAAAACTGTGATCCTTTCAAATCTCATAAGAGGAAAAAAAAGTCTCTATCTTTTTAGCAATCCAAAAGTCACTGGAGCCTCTCCCTCTAAAAGATCATCACTCTCCAGAGACTGTAAAGCCATTTTACTTATAGTTGATGGTTAAATTTGGTGTGACACATGAGTTGGGTAATCATGGTTAAGTACAGGAGATGGTAGAAACTCTTCCCATGCCATCTCAGTTTTCAGAGCAAGGCAAGGTAGCTCAGAGAGTCAGATTTGTCCATCAGTTGAGAGTAAGATGTGCTCCAGTGCTGCTGACGACAGGCAGAAATCTGTCCTCAGGGTATAAAGCAAATGAAGAGCTGTTATGGTTTTGTGTGGACGACTAAACTTTCTGCATCCCTTGAGATTAGTCTTCCTCATCAGCCTTAATCAGAAGTGATTAGGTACAGCAGTAAGTGGATGTGATATTAGGGCACAAGAAAAACATAGGAATTTTTGTGATTCTGCCCTGATCTGCCATGTAGGTAATGTAGCAGTGAAGAGGGAAATCTGGGGAGACGCTGAGTGAGAAAAACTGTTCTCTCTCATAGGTGTGTTTATTTACTGCTATGAGCTTGAACACTTCTCTGGAAGTACACAATCTGAATCTCTCTTTTCACTTCAGCTGTGATTTAAGCTTGCTGCAATACAGTGGGCTCAGCTGAACCTCTGGGCTTTATTAGGATCCGGAATGATAGTTTTCTAGTAAATAAAGGAGACTTCAAAGATACTTCTTCACAAAGATCGCTACTGTCTTCTGTGTCTGTTTTCAGGGGACTATATTCATTAAAAAAAAAAAAAAAAAATAGCAATAATCAAAGAGAGATATAATAAAAAATACAAATATTCTTAGATGAAATCCCAGGAGGTGTTCAAGGCTGGGTTGGACGGGGCTCTCGGCAGCCTGGTTGAGTATTAAATGCAGAGGTTGGCAGCCCTGCCTGTGGCAGGGGGTTGGAGCTTGATGATCCTTGGGGTCCCTTCCAACCCAAGATATTCTATGATTCTCTGAAATAACTCTATGTCACAGATCTTCCAGTTAAATGAAAACAGAGAAATATTTTGAAACCTTGTTATTCTGGAATAGTATTTATGTAAATGCAGCAGAATATATTCACCAATAAACCTGTAGATTAAAGACCTACATTGCAGATGCAATGCCTAAAGTCTGCAAGATTTCTGCAAATATACCTTTATTAAAGATATAAAAAGATATAATTGTACTGAAAACATGCAAAGTTAACATGGCTAAATAACAGCAGGAGTTGAAAATGTGGATATCATTTAACATACAGAAGTTCTGTATTCATTGTGACTATTAAAAGCCCCAAGCCATGGGGTTCACCTACAAAACTGGGAGAGGGAATAGATTTTTTCAGGCTTCGCTTGTCCAGAGCACGGCAGCAACATTTAAAATAAAATTTAAGGAAAGGAAAGGGAAAAGGAAGGGGGAAAAAAAAAAAGGGGGGGGATGGTAAAATGGAAAGGGAAAGGAAAAGGGGAGAAGGAAAGGAGAGAAGAAGAAAAAATACTAATTCTGACTAAATTAACACATACTTACGTGCCAACTGAAGTATGAGAGATTACCCTAGGGGGCAGCTGGTTACCTGCAGGATTTCTAGGAAGAATGGATTGAATCCTGTGGAGAATAAGTAGTACTTTCTGGTTTTTGGATGACATGCTAACACCTTGAAAGAATTCAGAAGAATATTTACAAAATCTTGAGGAAATTCCAACAGGTTACCAAGCCATGTTTTAAAAATAAGTTTGTAGGTCAGGAGATATTTTTCACTCCTCTCAAAACTCAGATTCCCTACTTTTGCTTCAGGATAAAAATATCTTTAAAAGATAGAAACTAGGGAGTATGCATACATGCTTTGACGTTGTACAGTTTATGTTGTATTTATCCATGTTAAATCACTGTTATGGTAGCTCTAAACTATCACTGCTAGCTACTTAATGTCTTACCTGACATGTGAAAAATGAAATAGATTGGAATGAAAGAGTAAGAGGAGCTTTTTGGATGAAACCATACAAGCCAGCAGATCTTAATGCTTTAATTTCATGGAATCATAGAATAGTTTGTGTTGGAAGGGACCTTGAAGATCATCCTGTTCCAACCCCCCTGCTATAGGCAGCAACACCTTCCTCTACACCAGGTTTCTCAAAGTTCCATCCAGCCTGCCTTGAATGCTTCCAGGGAGGGGGCACTCAGAGCCTCACTGGGCAAAGATTGTCCATTCGGATTTGGAATGTAATTTTCTGCTAGAATAAGGGCTGTTGTTCCAGAAGATCCTAAGAGCAAAATGTTCCTCACTACTTGTTTTTTAAATAATTATCAAAATGTGAAATAACATTTCTGTATCTGTTTTCTGGGGACTATATTCATTAAAAAAAAAAAAAAAAAAAAAAAAAAAGAAACATTTAAATATTGTAATGGACTTGCAGTCTCACTCAGGATTTAATAAATTAGTGGAGATGAAAAAGCAGAATAAAAAGATTTTCATGATGTCAAAATAAGACCAAGGCTTGAGTACCCTGCAGCCTGTGTGAGCAAGGAGAGGAGGAGAAATGCTAGTACCACCGTGAATATCCTGCATTATTGCCTGGACTTGCAACCAATTCCTCTGGTAGCCATATTTGTTATAATGAATTCCTGGAAATATTTGTGAGATTCTCCAGGGGGCTGCAGTGGCCCTGGGGACACTTGTGAGCACTTCTGCCTTGGTCCCATCCAAAACCCTCTGCAGATATCCACTTGGGAGCCAGCAAGAGCCTTTGGCCTCATCCACTCACTCCCCAGACCCATCAGAAACAAGTTCTGGTATTTGAGTACAATCCTGGGGCCCATGAGTTCAGCTTAGTGACTGGGAGGAAAAGAAAACATTATTGTCCTCAGTTAATTGCTTCTTTGTGACAGAACACACTTCAAAGACGCTTTAGTCTCCAGTGCATCTTAGCTGAGAAAAGCCCATATTAGTGATTTTAAAACCCCCCCGTTTCCAACAACTGAGATGAGTGAATATCGTGCTACAGAATATTCACCACCAAGCATCTCCATCAGCAAAAGTGGAACTCGAAATTAGTTTGGGGCTTGGGTGGTATTTTTTTTTGTTTTGTTTTGTTTTTTAAAGTGCTGTTTTAATGAGGTGTTTAGTTTAGCACATTTGGCTCCTCCAAATTACCTCAAGGGGATTCATATGCTAACGAACTACACAGCTGTTGTTTGTGAAACCAGCCTAGCACAAGCAGAGCGTGTAGTGCAAAGATTTAAATGCTCTGTTGGAGAGGTCACTGCACTCCTTCCTCTGCTATCAGTTATTAATAATGAGTCTACTACTTAATTGTAAACAATAGATTGGTTGGGTTTGGGTTCAAGTGCTTGGGGGGGGTGATAAGAAGGATAAAATCATGGAATGACCTGATTTTATGCAACTGGTGAAGCATTTTGGGGTGGGGAAGGTTGGCAGAGAAGTTAAAGGCACTGGTCATGGCCTGACGAGGCTGCAATGAGCAGGACTGATGTTTGCAATAATTGTTGTTGTATAAACACTCCCTGATATGCTTCAAAAGCTTTAAATCTGAATTTCTTAAATTAAGCAGGCTTTGCTCCTGGCAAGAAATAAGCCATTTTCATTTTAAAGATGTCACTTTATATTTAAGGAAATTAATAGCTGGGAAAGTAAAGGAAAAAAAAAAAAAAAAGAAAAAGAAAAAAAGAAAGAAAAAATAAAAGCAAGCAATCTGATTTTTAAAGGCCAGTGTGACACAATTTATGTACTCAAGGAGGAATCCCAGTTTCCACCACCTCCTGAGAAGTAAATAGTGGCCAAGAGAGATGCTGGCATCGCTCAGCAGGCAGCATGTTGTCCATGAGCTGGGAACTGCTGCTTTGCAGGCTGCTCACATGTAACACATTCCTCATAATGCTGGCTCGTAGGTCATTTAATCATTTAAATATTTGTGCTTTATTACTGAAAATAAGTTCCGTGATTAATCATTAACATCAGAGCAACCTCTGCCGGCTACTGGGGACAGAGCTCTCAGCAGCATAACGCGTTCAAAGATTTGAATTCGATATGCCTGCTGTATGATTCACACTTTTATTGTCTCTCAAACCCATTAGTATTTAAGTACAAGTAATGGTATTTTGCCTAGAATTTAGGCAGAATATAAAATAAATGTACAGTGGGAGCTTTGCCAAGTTTGAAGAACTCCTCATTGGCGCTGTAGTCCCGAGAGCAGCAGCTTCTGGCAAAGTGAACGCAAACACAGAGACTTCCCTGAGTACAAAGCAAGGATCCTCATTGAGGCCCCCATGCCACAGCTCAGATGGCATAATTAAGTTCAAACCAAGGAAGAAAGTCCTTGCCTGGATAAAGACAGAAACCATCGGTTCTTGTTTTCTTTGGAAAGTAACTATCAGAAAGACCTGATATTCCTCCAAGTGCCTTTCTAGAAATACAAAAAAAAATCCATATTAGGGAAAAAAAAAAAAATAATTCTAAATGTCCTTCTATTGCTGTTTTACAGATGAGAAACTGAGATGCAGACTGATCCCAACTCCCAGCTTTCTCAGATTATTTGGCTTGGAAATAACATTGAGGATCAATGGAAGATCACATCCATTTGGAGGTACAGTCCATTTGTAAGATTTTGGGACATTCTGTATCCTCGCCCAGTGCCACTGCTTGAGGGTGATAGCAGAGATGAGTTAATGTCACCTCCAGTATCCGCGTACCTAATGGTCAACTGTCCTCAAGGAAGGGGGCTAAAATCAGCAGCTCATTTAACTCAACAGACTGTTGAGAACTCTCCATGCATAAGTTTTTACTGACGTGCATAAGCTGGATGCAAACTGGTTGACTAAATTGCAAAAATCAAATTCATCTTTTCCAGTTTGCAAGCTCTTCTTCTGAGCGCCCATTCAGTATGGAGATACCGACAGTGTTGGGGGATTTTATTTCATTTTTTGTTGCTAGTTCTATATAATGGAAGTATATCAAGTGCTGTGCATAAGATGTTATTAGGACATTAGGATTACTCATTGCAAAGACACGTGTAATATAGAGTGGCTGTTTCCTTGCACAGCGTGGAACCAGAATGCCTGCCAATTGGAAATGAAATCACCTTCCATTTCAGGCTGATTTATCTACAAAATATGAGTTTTCCTGTGGATCTGGAATTGCCAGGCATGTTGGATAGGAAGTAGTTGTGAAACCCAACCTTTCTGGAAGGTGGGGAGCTTGGAAATACACTGACACCCTTCTCCAATTTCTTGGCTCAGCCGCTTGTATTCAGCCGATATGAAATCCTCTCTTTCAAGAGGGCACCTTTTCTGCCTACTGTGGTTTTGCAGCTCTGGTAGCATTAATGCCATCTCCTAGAGCACAGCAGGCTTTTCCATTAGGATCTAGGAAGAGCCAGGTTTGGTTACAGGCTAGCAGAACCCACTGAAGATTTCAGGAGTTCCAAATACTTTGTCTTGTACATTTAAGGATTCCACAAAATACATGTAAGCAGAGATTAAACGTTCACAGGAGAGCACAGATGGTTGAGTAGCACTCATTTTGATCACCAACATTCCTAAAAGTTCTAGCCAAAAGGAAAGGATTTTTCCTTTATGTGAGACAAGATTGACTTCTGAGACCCTTATATTTAAATACCAGTAGCTGGTGCGTCACCACTGATGTAGGTTGTCGTTTCTGATTAAAAAACAAAACAAAACAAAACAACTCTGTATCAACATAAAATTATTGTGCAGCAATTTAATGGCACAGCTCTTCTCTATGAGCTCAGAAAACATCCCATTAAGTCTTTCACGAATTGCCACAATAACTTCTGCTGACATGCTCATTTGTTCTCATCTCCGAATAAATCTGCTTGATGACTTCCACAGGACAAAGCAGGGATTTCCCAGGCCGTGATTCAGCACAGCTTCATTCCAGCACCTCCGTATTCTCTCCATCTCAGCTCTGGGTGAGGCTGAGGTTGGAGATGCCACTTCACACCAGCTCAGATGGGGGCTGTGTGTACTGCACGGCGCTGGTGTGAGACAGCTGATGAAATGTTTTTTGCTTCTCTCTCGGATCTATTTCAGTGCTCTTCACCATCTGGTGAAACACTTCAAGGAAGAAAACAGCCTTGCAATGTCTCATTTTGCCGTGGTTTTTGAGCATTATTTTAATGATCTTTGTGTCATTTAAGTATGATTACTTGTCCTCTAAGGCTTTTCCTGTTTATACTTAAATAGTGTTGGAGTGTAGCCAGACACACTTTAAACAAAATGATAGAAAATAGCTTTTTTTTTTTTTTTTTTTTTTGTCATAAAAGCTTAAAAGAATCATTTACAATTTGAGAACATAGTGGCACTTTGCATTCTGGTAGGGTTTTGTCTTTTTTTTTTAATCTCCTTGTAGTAGTAGAAAAATAAATGAATTAAACAAGCATAATTACCAGTCAAATTTTACAAAATACCAAAGAAATGGAAGGCTTAATTCAAAAGGGTGGTAATGGTATAAATAATTAAGTCAAATTGTTTTCATTTTCATGCCGCATATTGTTTCCTTCAGACTGTAATGGTACAAGGCAAAGTATGCGCCGTGCTAGAACAAGACAAATAACAGATAAATTTATTCATAAACACTTTGTGGATTTGTAATTAGAAGTTCACTGCGGCGGTTTTCACTGGTCTTTATTTTTTTCCCCAATTTCTGTAAATATTTGCATGATTAAATTTTTGCTTTGAGAATGCAGACAGATGCAGAATGCACTGCGGAAGTGCTGTGAAACTTTCCTCATTTCTTGGCTGAAGTGGCAACCAGATCCCTAGCATCCTCAACACAGCATGGCCATCTGCCAGCTGGGTTAGCCAGCACCACGCCTATGGAGGTTGGGAGCTGTTGGGATGGGTTTGTGTGTGGCAGTTTTCCCTCTTTTAATTAATTAATACCCAAAAAAGGAGTTTTTCTGCCCCACGGATGATAATGACCTGGTAGATATCAAATTCACTGGACTTCAGGGACCAGCAGTGACTTCTGCCAGAAAAGGGGGGCTGATGAATGAAATGATTGTGTAAGATGAATGCAGCACCATATGCATGAAACACTACGATCATTGCCTACGTTTTGTGGGTCTGGCATGCAGAATGCCTTCAGTGCTGTATCTTCAATGAACCCATTTAGGTGTGAAGTTGTGACAACTTGCGGAGAACAGAAGATCTCCTGAGGGTCAATACGCACCATTACAAGACTTCAAATGCCAGGTGATGATACTGAAAGGGACATCCAGAGCTCCACAGGTTCTGAACCTGTTTGTGGAACTACCTCTTGGTTTATTTTGAGCGTGCTACAAATTCACTAAAATTAAACTTTTGAAAATATGCAGACACAGAAGCAAGTTAAACCTCCTGAGTAAATTTGCCATTCAGCACGCTCTAGATGTATTCGCTTTTTATGAAAGTAAGACTATGCTAGGATTACCTGTATTTCCTCAGGGTAGGGGTCCTTATTCTGCCCCTGTTGCACTCACACAGATCCTACTGGTACCATAATGTGAGCAGCAGAGGTTGCAGCACTGCTCACAGCTCTTGCCTGCAGGTATCCCATGAACATCAATATCTTCCATCATTGCATCAGTGCAGCGTGAAGTACCAGGTGAGCTTGTGTCTGTGCCCAGCCCCAGGGAAGGATTTGCCATACACTAATGTGCTAAAATGAGCTGGGCTGGGGTCAAAACAGCAAGGTCCTCAGCTCTGCTGATTCACTGCTTACCCTTCCAGCAGCCCGAGGGAGCTGCAACATGTGTGGTGCTTCCCTTCCCCTCTCGCTGCAGTGGAGCACGGCTTCTGCATAGCACTACTGGCCTCTGCTGCCAGCACGGGAGAGGAGGAGAGAAGAGAAATTGAAGGGGACTTTCCACCTCCCTGCTTTTCTGGAGGGCCTCCTGATCCCTGCCTATGAGCCAGAGGAAAAGCAATCTTTCATCCTTACCTTATTTCCATGCTTACAAATAAAGGTCAAGGCTCCTCTGCTGTATTCAATGCTGTACCAGCTTTAAACAACCACCCTGAAATGTAATTGTAATTAGTTTCCTTTCAATCTTGATGTGAAGAGTGATCTTAAAATGCCAGGGCTGTAGCAGCGCATGTGATTAACAAGCACAGAGAAAGGCAATGTGTGGAAAAATATGGATAGAAATGAACAAAATGCAAATGTTGCACTGCTCTAAATTTTATTATCCTCTCAGCTCTTCATAAAATACTGTAGACATCATTTGATTATATTTTTAGTCTAGGGAATTAATTTTTAACTAGGGAACTCATTTCTGCCTTATGATTACTCTTCTCTGCAGTGGCCTGTAGGTCTGAACTAAAAAATCACAGTTTTAATTGAGCTAATGATGCCCAGAACTCACATTAATCTCACTTATGTGTGTGTCATGCCATGCAGTGTGTGCTATAGCTGCCAGTAACGTGTGCATCATTTCATACCAATGATTCCTCCAGGGGACCAAGTAAATCCTGGCTGGCTTGGGTCTGCATCCCACTATTGTCACTGCCCAGAAGACTCCTTGGAAATGCTGATGACTGGGCAGCCAGCAGAGGGAAAATAAAATAGCAAAAACAGCATTCATGATCAGCCTCCATGTCCACCCCAGCTCTTTCAAGAGCTTTTAACACCTGCACATTTTGGCTTGTGACATCCAGACTCACAGTAGGGATCAACAAACATTTGGGAATCTATAGCTCTGTATGTTCACCTCATCCGACAGCCACCATCCCACAGCCTCGGTTTTCAACTCTCTGTGCTGGAATCTACATTAAACAGAGCAGTGAAGTTCCAATTGTTTGTTGTCAAAGAGTTTCAGTTTTGTGATGAAAGATGTGACCTTTCTTTGCGGCAAGAGTCCTTTCTGATTGATTAGTAAACATGAGGTAAAATGCAGGAGCACGCCAGCGTTAACTTGGTACTGCCACTGGCTCTGTGCATCAAATATTTTTGCTTTATTTTGAACATCCTGTTAATGAGAAAAACATTCTAATCAAAGAAACGTGTTTCCTTCAATTCTCTGCACAGTGTTATTTGCTGCTTCAGAATGACATGCTCAATTATATCTGTTTTATTCCCAAATTAGAAAAAAAGAAAAAAAAAGCTTCAGAAAATTATTAACTAAGACTCTTAACAAGTGTTAAGCAACATCCAGTATTAATTATTTAATCATTTTTTTAATTCTTTCTCATCAGGTAAGAAGAGAATAGCATGCTTGCTCAGAGGATGGTTTTTCGCTTAGCACCGTTGTGCTCAGGACTGGACTCCAAAAGCAAGCTCAAGGTAAGAGGCCTCTGCAGACATTGATGGGCAGAAACCTTTTAATTAAAGCCACCAAAGAGGCAGTGTGATCGAGTTCAAGGAACAGCATTTCTATGTGCATTATGGCACATGAGAAATGGGCTGGTGAAGGACCCAACAGAGGCTGAGTACAAGAGAGAGGTGCGCACGCCGCAGAGCAAGCTAACTGGGCAAAGGTTGTGTTCTGGATGAGGACACCAAGGTTCACGTACTCGTGGCCTCATATGAGCACCCCAGCCACTTCCAGCCTCCCCCAGTATTGCCCTCTCTGTCCTCCCACCACCCATTGCCCTTTCCCATTTTCCCAGATCTCACCGCACTCCAGGACCACACCAAAGGAGTTACCTCAGGACGTGGCAGCCTCCTCAATGCTGAGCAGCTTCTCAGAGAGTGTGTGGGCTTTGAGAAGAAGGAGGTCTTTTACTTGTGTTCTGTTCCCTAACATTTGGATAAAGCCTCGTTCATCTCAGCCACCCTCTGCTGCTAGGAGAAACCCCCTGTTTGTGGCGTTGTGGAGAGCCCATTTTGGGCTGCTGTGGTCCTCTACTGCTTCCCTTTAGGACTCTGATGATACCTGTGTGAACAAGCAGAAGAGTGCCATGCCAAGAAATGGGCACATGGATTGCTTGGGTGCATCATTTAATCAATTCCCTCTGTGTTATAATTTCCTCTGCTACTCAAAGGACCATGGACCTTGCACACTGCTGCCATGATAAAAACTTAAGTTTTGGCATACATCGCTTTCTTTTCATGATCCTTCACATCACTGGTATCTCCTTCTTCCTTTCCTTCAAGTTGCAGCCAAGCTCTTGACTGGATTGGGTCCCTATTGGTGAGGTACAGAAAAAACATGGCAGCTTGGCCCATCTCTTTGGCTCCACCTCTAGAAAGAGGGAAGTCTCCATGTCCACGTGCAAATTTCCTCACACTTCAGCAGCCTGGCCTTAGGCCATCGAGCCACCTTCGCTGGCACTGCTGATACTTGGCATGAAGTTCTCCCATCCTAATTCCTGCTAGAACAGATTGTACAGAACACATCATGGTTTGAAGGCTGTCCAAGAGGTGCTCTGTGGGTTGGAAGTCCTCATCTAGGTCAGGATCAATACTTAATTAAAACCCTTGTGAAGCAAGGCCTGATACTCAGCTCCTCTGTTATGGAGGATTATTTGATTCACTTACAGGAGCATGCAGTACTTTGCTAAATCTTTTCCAGAAGTGTTGCCATGAAATATTTCCTCCAAGAGCAATAAAGGACCCTCTATATTTTTAAGTTTGTCTGAAAGACTTTGCCACAGTATAAAATATAGGTGCCTTCAAGAATAAGCTTCTTGTTAACTGGAATAGTCCCTCTGTATACATAAATGCACAGTGCCATGCACTTTTTTTTTTGTGTGTGTGTGTATCACAATTTCATTCATATAAAAACGATTTATGGCAATTCCATCAACTGCCATTTAAGGGGGCTCTTTAAGTACAGCAGGATGTGATTAGTCCCACATGGGGAGCTTGTGTTTTATCAAAAGAAAACAACAATCAGCTGGTAGAGCTACTTACAGCAGGGAAAGGAATGGTGAGAAGGAGAGCTGAAGGGAGCAGTGACCACCAGGAGAGTGAGTACTGGGTATGAGACAAGAAGCTTTTGAATCTACATTGGGTGAGTTCATTTCTATCTGTCAGCTTTGTTTGGTACCACGCATCCCAATTCAAACTGATAGCAAGTATCTGAGTCAAATAAGTGAATATTTCTGCTAAATGTTGTCTGTCACATCCTGTTACTGCATTTTGCTTTCTTCACCATATGTACTAACATGATGTAGTGGAGCACAACATGATGCAACCTGAGTGATTCAATGTGACATGACAGAAAAATATTGCTGTAGCTTTCAGAATAAACACCTGCTTTTAGCAGTTATTTTCTCTGCTAGAAGCAGTTTCTTAAAATATATTACCTGGATTCTGCTGAAGTATGTTGCACCTCTCTGGATGTGTGTCTCCATAATTTCCACAGCATGTTTATTCTTCATTTTTGTTTATTCTAGATAGCCATGTTGAGTGTGTTTATTGTTTAATTGCTGGGAAATGAAGTAATCCAGACCATGAGAGGAGAGATATATGGACAAACATGTTGTTATTGTAAAAAAAAACAAAAAACAAAACAACACTGATTCTGTCAACAGCAAACAGTATTTACTTATATGTAGTAATAATAAGAAAAGTTTGGGAAAACTTGTTTTTCCTCCAAAAACTTCCTCAGATTATTATAGGTGAAAACTGGATAAAGATCATCTCTCCTTGGAGAGATGCGGACACAGGAAAGGCAAACACTGAACTGTTGATTTTGCATTTGCAAATGTAGGTTTTATGAATGGGAGCATTTTTAATAAGAAAGTCAAGGCTTAGGTGAGCCTTCCTAGAATTTTGTTTCATTATCCTTGACCTGACTGACAGAAATATTAGCAGTGGGAAATGAAACTGTTGGCTTAGTTATTTTTAAGAAATAAAGTAGTTTATTCCTATTGATTTAATATTCTTTCCTTCCAAAAATTCATCCATCTGGGTGTGAATGCGTGAAAGCTAATTAAATTGGCAGCAGTATCTCTGTACCTCTCACGTGGAGAATATTTGTCTTGAGTTAGAAGAGCTTCACCCTCCAGGGCTGATACAGAAGTCATTTCCAAAGCAGAAGGAAAGGGAAGGAAATTCCAGTGACCTTCATCTCATCGGATCACAAAATTCAAAGCAGCTGTTTTACAGGGGAAAAAAGAATAAATTGAACAGATCTCCACATTCTCTTGGAAAGGGATAAAACCTTTGCCTTGAGGTCAGAAAGCCTACATCCATTTCTGAGTACCCATAAGATTTCTACCAGCTGTCCTTCTTGTCCCTTACCCAGAAAAAGATGCTACCTTGAAATACTGATGGCAACTCCTAACGTTGCATTTCCCAGAAGTAGCACAAATGCAGGGCTGGGGTCGTGGCTTGGAAAAACAAGTGTCTTCGATGTTGCAGAGAGGGGAGAAAATAGTGTGATTTTCCCAAATCTGTCCTCACGTGTACTGCTGCAGCACACTACCTGTTGTATCAGCACCTTGGGGCCCTTGGGAACCATCGGTTGGCAGCCAGCCCCAGATGCACAGCGGGAGCATGGTGCTCCACTCTGTGTGTGCAGCTATGCAAGGGTGTGGGTTTGGTAGCACAGGAGCCAAATTCTTTAGTTTCTCTAAATGCAAAGCACCTTTTGACTTTTGATAAAAATTAAACACTCGGAAGGTTTGAGTAAAGTTGGTTTTAATTTTTAATAAAAATGAGGACACCGTTGCTGATAATTGTACAAAGCCTCCAAAGAGCTCCATTGCTATGTAATCCCAGCAAGCTGGCAATGTATTTTAATGTATTTATTTGATTATGCATTCATTCATCTATTCAGTCATTCATTCAGATACTTGTTCATTCATCCCTGTCCCTTTGCAGGAAGAGCACATAAGCCAGCAGTGGCATACTTCTTCACTGTCCTGATTTACAGCCATGGCTCTGAGTTGGTATCGATAAATCACTTTGGTCCTCTTCAAACCAGCCCTATCCCTCATTAATAATGGGGATTCGAAGGAAGGATTAAAAATCATATCAGATCATAGATAGATAGACAGATATGCATATTAGTTGCAGCACTTTAATCAAAATGCTGACTTATTGGATTTATTTTTATTTAAGACCTTTCGTATTCATGTTTCTCTAGGTCTTGCAATTATTTCCACAATCTCTGACTTTTTGTTAACTAGACCCTTGACTTCACTAGCAGAATTGATTGAGGAGGTAGCTGGTGCTGTCCTGGTACCTGCCCAGGTGGATGCAGAGCTCTAGCAAGACTGGCACTCGCAGCTCTTTTCATTGCCTGTATTTCGTAGTATCATAGAATGGTTTGGGTTGGAAGGGACCTCAAGGGTCATCAAGCTCCTGCTTGCTTGCCACAGGCAGGGCTGCCAACCTCCACATCTAATACCAGACCAGGCTGCTCAGGGTCCCATTCAACCTGGCCTTGAACACCTCCAGGGTTGGGGCATCCGCAATCTCTCTGGGCAAAATTTCATGGCTTCTTACGATCTTCTGGCCTTGGGAAATATTTATTTAACAATGCCTTTCTGGAGGGCCACTTCTGGTAGGCAGCAGCTGGATGAGCTGTACCTGGGATTACCTCAGCATTACTCCTCCCAGCCTAATCACATGCCTTTTATCTGCTTCTGAGTATGCTTGAACACAGGAGGATGTTCTTTGAAAAGGGACTGAAAAGAAGGAGAGGGCTCATTTTTGAGCTGGGATCACTTGCTTTCTGACAGCTGCAGGAACACTTTTTCTTGCATATCTCTGAAATACCCTTAATTATTCTCACAGACAACTTGCAATGTAATGGCATCCCTAAACTGTTAACCTTGAAAAAACATTTGACAATGTACTAACATCTCAGAAACTTGTTATTCCAGGGAATATAATAAACCCATAAATATCCTAGCTTCTCTCAGAAGTCCCAGAATAATTCTTTGTTGTCAGTCTTTTTGTTCCCCTCAATTTTTTGTTTTGACCTGGTAGCAGGAGATGCTGGAGAGAAAGAGAGCATGTTAAAAAGAGTAATAATAATAATAGCAAAAAAGCAGTTTGAAAATGTAGTTATGTATCATATATAACACCTCCTACAAAAGGAGATGTCCCTTGTCTTCTCACCATTTCTGTGCCTTGAGGGCACTGGAGGGTGGAGCCACTTAATGGCAGTATGGGACAGAGCTGGTCCCTGGTAATCAAAACCAACAACGCTGCCGTTCCAGTGCTCTCCCCCTGCCTCCCTCCCCTCCTTCGCATGTGAGGTTTGTGTGTAGCTGCAAGTGCTGCTTCTTAAATAAACACCTCCTACTTTAAAAGAATTACAATGCCATATAGGCTGACAACGTGCTTAAATGCCATGCTTGCTTTGGCAGAGAAAATGA